GAGTCGATTCAACCCACTTGCAATTGCATAAAGATCAGTGGGCTGATTTATTTTTAGACCCCAGTGTGTAGCGATAGGTTAATGATGTAATCATTGGTGTTCTACTGCCAACCGAACGTGGTGATATTTATACTTTTACATTCTAAGATTTTTCAATTAATTTAATTTGTTTTGTAGTTATATCATCGTATTGCGATATGAAAATAAATCAGCTTGCTGTCCTTTATATTATTGTGACTGGGTTAAACCAACCCCAAGATCAAATGATGGTGTTTGAATGAGATGCCAATACACGATTATGTCAACAACATTATCTTCTACCTTATTTTTCCTTTTTCGATCATTAAATTCTGATTGTCTTGGAATTTGTTGTTCACATATCTGAACCATCTTTTCTTGCACTTTTCCATTGATTTTGATATTAAGTTGGTTAACAATTTCATGAACGTACTAATATTCGACTTGAGTTCGAACAAATCACATTTGATTTCCATTTGATGACATACAATGCTATGAATCTTCTTTTTTTGTCCGAACCATCCATTTGTTTCCTTAATTCTATCAATTGTGACTTCAAATTCACAATTTTTGAGGTCAGAACTTCATTCTTAGCCTACATGTCACATACATGCCCACTCAACTACTCCTCAATTGGTCATATATATGCCAAAAATAACATTTTTATAAGTATTGATTTATATCGAAGTAAAATGATGAAATAGCAAATAAATATAAGTTAATTACATACATCAACACTTGAACAATAAGCTGGGTTTGTTGTGGGTCGTTCTTTTAGATAATCTTCAGTGCTCGAAGTACGTTGATGTCTCGTTGGCGGATATATGAAATCATCCTTATCATTTTCAACAACATTGGAATGTCCAAGTCTACCATAAGTTATCATGAGCATTAGAGCAGAGGATTTGTGATCAGATGAACCTACCTTTGTACTCATTCCTTCATGGCTAGCCGTGGTTGCACTGGTTTGTTGTACGGCATTCTCAGTTATATAAGGCATCACATATCCATATTCGAAGGGTCTAAGTCGTTTACTTGAGTTTTTCATCCCAGAATAACTAAGAAAAAAGGTCAACGATGAAATTTCATACAAAATATTACGTAGTGCACTAGTCAGTAAATGAACTTAAATCCTTACATCAGGGTTAGAGAAGACATCACGTCCTTCCAACTTTGTAGCTGAGGGGTGCTCATCCGCCATCCAATTCTTGATGCAGAGATACAATATAAACATCCTTATAACCACAGATCCATTGAGACTATGAATCGTCTCATATATCCAATATTGGAAGGCTACTAGTAGACCTTTTAACTTATTATGACTTGACCTATTGCTCAAACCCTCATTCAAAAAACCCAATGTAATCTCAAAAAATATCTTTCTTATGGGAAAATCTTCATCCCATCAAAATCTTTAATGAATGGAAACAAAAAGCGATCTACGACATTCTTGTAAGATGTTGAAACAAATATGATGTAATTAAATACAAAATACTTAGCCGAAAACGTCATAATCTGGAAGGCCTCTCACAAAAATGAATACGTCCCTAACATCTTCTTTGGTCAAATTTTTAATTCATTGAAGTATGTGTCCTTCAAACGTATAGATTGAAGTCAAACTTTTTTTTATCATCATTACCGAAATATCTGAGACCGGTAACAAATTTGGTAACAAAAATCTAACAAAAGGACCTGTTATCTTGAACCATATCTCATTCGGGTCCTGCTACTTTACCTCTCACAATAAAATGTAGTAGATCAATTGTGGTTAAACCAAACGTTATGGTTCGTACGACCAGGGACGGATCCAGGACCGAATTACAGGTCGGGCTAATACGTAAAAAAAAAAAATAATAATAACATGTGATTTTTTTTTTTTTTT